CATGCTTCTCCAATCAAACTATCCAAACTTTAACTGGATCTCTGTTCAACAATAGCCCTTCATATTTTAGCTGGGGAATCACTTCCGAATACAATACACATTAACAACACTTTCACTCACACACCTGTACAGGCACTCATTGATGGTGATTCCACCCATAATTTCATTCAGGATGTTTGGTTAAATACCTACAATTACCGGTCATCCTATACCTCCATTTCATGTACTAACAGGCAATGGAGACAAGTTGCTTTGCCCGCAGAAATGTATTAAAGTACCTCTTCATCTTCAAAACCTTTCAGTTAACAGTGTATCTATGCATACTATCTACAGAGGGTGCTGATGTGGTTCTTGGAGTTCAGCGCTACAACAATTTGGAGACGTTACAGCAAATTACAATACATTATCTATGAATTTCCTTATAGCAAAACAACTATTGCATTATCCTAACAGAAATAGGCTAATGATTCTCAGAGAAATTAGTTTGTTGGGGTTAAAACCTACTGGTAATCCAACTGATAGTTAGAACACTATCATTGGAGAAGAATTGTTAGAGGATGCTCTCTTTATTATTGGTTGGATGAATTGTAGGAATTGTAAGTCAACACTTACAGTTTCTCGAAAACAGAGAGAAGTTGTTCCCTTTATTCACTTGTACATCAAGAGATCTTTAGGAAAAGGATTTCTTTGCAGTGAATGTCTATCTTAATATGGAAGCTTGGATATTGCATATTTATTGGAACTAAATTGGCAAGATGGTAAAGTATGGAGCGAAATTTTATGACTAGGTTTTGTGCAAAGACATATTACAGAGCTATGACACTCTACTTATAAGTTGATATGGGCTGAAGCACCTCTAAAGAAATTTGTTTTTTCAATTACATAGCATATATTCTTATTTTGCATGAATAAAGTTGTTTAAAATGATTTGCAAAAATTAGGTTTAATATCTCTAAACAACATTGAAAAGAAATTAATGAAAAATGAGAATTTTTAATTTCACTGAATAGTTTGGATAATTTTAATGATTATGCTGCATAATTATATACATCACTATGAATCCAAAGTTTTGGAAAGAACTAAACAAACCATACACGTTTAAGTTGGCTTCATTTCATTTGGGATGCTATGTTAATCATTTTTTTACTAACAATAAATTTTAGAGAAAACATTACATTCACATAGGGCACATCATCACAATATAATTGAACAAATAAACCTAAAACAACAGAGTAAAATTGTGATTTGTGTAATAGGAAATTACAGATTAAGTAAGCCGTAATCAATTTACTGATTTCTTTATCTAAAAGAACAATACTTGCGAGTATATCTTGTTAGATCTTCATTTACTGATTTCTTTATCTAAAAGAACAATACTTGTGATCAAGTCTGTCTAGCTTGAAAAAAATTCGCTTTGAAATGTGTAATAATAGGCATAACTTTTGTGTTTCCCACAATATATTCCAGCAATCATCACATATATCTTTGAAATCCATCCTTTGATTTTCACAAGAGATGTAAAGAGAAATTATTGGATGACATTGATCATGGGTTCATGGAATAAAGTCACATCCGATGTATGAAAGACTAAAATTTTGCTAGAACTTATTAGAATTTTTAATTTACAAGCGTTTGTCCCATTATGTTGTATGATTTTAGATGACCCTATCTTTTTTTCTGCATTAATATAACACCAACTTTTAACTCTATATACCTCATGATCACATCAGTAGTAAATTTTTAATTATCATTTTATAGTTGATCTCTTTTGAATATGTTCATTCAAGTCGTGCATGTGTTATGCAAATGATCTCGCAAATTTAGTCCTAAACCCAATACTAAGTTAAACAAAATCCAAGGTTCTTAGGGTGAAATCATTAAACTATTTCATATGCACCTATGTTGGCAAACTTATTGATAAATGAATTATGCATGAAATCAGCTGTTAAGTAATGTTAAATGCCAACTAGATGCATGCTCGTTAATCAGACATATCAATATGCCATCAGGCTGTGAGTGATAAGCAGTTGAGAATTTTATTTGAGGCTACAAGATCACATGTGCATATTACGTGCATAAAAAGGAATCAAAATGTACCCTATTTTTACTTATTAGCTATCTAATAACCACTAATCCAACTTACTCATTACAGTTATTGACACTTCAACTAATAACTTGTTAGCCACCTCATAACTCATTACATAGCTAATGAATCTATCAATAATGGCATCATGAACAAAAACAGTAACAATTCGGTCTGACCACTTAAGTCGATCAAAAACCATAGGTGAATCGAATAAGATACATCACAATAATAGAGAACAAATCCCATCCTGCTCTTATAAGCCCCATCGTTAGATGAATGTTTGAAAAATAAATTGAAAATGACAGCAAAACTATGAAATAAAAAATTATAGTATAACACAAAACAATAATCAATGCTATTTTCTTATCTAAATGCATGAGACGTTATGATTTCTCCTTTGAGTTTATATTTTCTGATTTGAATTGTTTGTCATGCGAGATTGCAACATTTTTTTCTCCTCAGAATTCAGCAGCAGAGATTAGTCGCGTTGATCCAGAGAGCACAACAAAGGCAAAGTCATTATTCTCTGCGTAGGCCATTTATGTACGTATAAGCATTCAGCGTTCTCTCTTAATTGCTAATTTTCCATTTGTAATTTAGCTTTAGCTTTGTGTTTTAATGGATCTAATTGTTCCACATGAGCTTTCTGTGTGACCCGCTTTATTGTGTCGATCACTGGTTAATTAGGAGCAGAGCTGATTGCTTAGGATAGTGTTTTTGAAAGAATCATAGATACTACTTTAGGGCCCGTTTGGAAGGGCTGCTGTGTATAAATTAGTCGTGAAACTGTATGAAGAAAACATAGTGTTGTTTTTCTTCTGGTAAACTGTTGTGTGTGTGTGTGTGTGTTGGTCTGCTTTGTTTTTTAACCAATGTGCTATACATTTTGAGCACTGCACCCTATTATTTTTATTCAGTTTCCTATTCTAGTTTCTCATTTGCATTTGAAATAGGAACTTTTTTCTAGTTTTGTACACTTTATACACTTTTTGCATACCCTCATCAACTCATTGAAAGAACCAAATCCTTATTTCACAACTTCTCATGTTTTCTCAACAGAACAAGCTTTTGTTCTATGAATTTTGAACCAATGGGAATAATTTTTTTTTAAAAAAAAACTGAAATTTTAATATTGTGGAAAATTAAGAAGTTTTGGCTTCTTTCTATGTTGTAGGCCAAACAACCACTTCAAAAATAATGGAAGATTTGATTGGTGACAACTTTGACAATCTCTTTAATAGTTTTATTCTATTCCTATTTTATGTTTCATTGTTTTTATTTCATAATGTTCCACCGATGGGTGAAAGGCAACAGCTCTTGGACCATCCACCACTGGAGGATCATGGACTGCCTTCTGAATGGTCACACTCGATTCCTCTAGCTGCATCGCTGTAGTTGCCGACTTTTCCCTCTGCTCTTCCTCTAACATAGAAGGATCCTAAGCAAAGGTTACCAGCTCCATCGACCTGCCCTCTAGACTGGTTATCCCCATTGCCTGACGCTTCTTCATTGAGAAACCACCCTCCCTCACTTGGGACCTCTCTACGGGACAGTGAGAAAGCGAGTCGGATGATCCTACTTTGTCACCCAATTCAGGGAGTCTCGTTTCAACCACAGGAAGCTTTTAAGGATGCATGTTTTTGGAAGAGGCCTTCGCCCGGACAAGCATCTTCTGGGCGTCCTTACCAAACTTGGTTGCCTTAGAGGGGAAACCGCTCTCCATGATCACCAACAAAAGATAAGAAAAGACAACCTGCTCAAAAAATACTAAGATAAGATACATTTTTTCTTCAACTCTCCCCATTCCATTTATAAGGGTTTCCGCACAGATTTATAAGATCGTTCAATTATTGTGCATTTAATAATCATGAATATCAACATCAAGATTCCCTTATTTTTATTGTAACTGTTGTTATCAAGGAGCAATGAAATCGGTGAACTTAAATATATTCATAAAACAATGTGTCAACACGAATCCTAAAGTGATCTAACGGCCGACAAAAAAATGATGATGTGATGATGCGGTTGATCGGGACCCATCAGAAACATTTCAAATGCCCCTACTTATCTAACCGACATCAGCAGACCGGGAAGGAGATAATCTAACGACGAGCTGAATTGGCTGCCTCCCTTAAATTTTACTGGCAAAAAGCTCACGTGGATGAATCAATCGACATTCTTCAACCAAACTGGGCAAACGATATAAATCGTATGTATTTAAATCGGGATTGGTGACAACTTTGACAATCTCTTTAATAGTTTTCTTCTATTCCTATTTTATGTTTCATTATTTTTATTTCATAATGTTCCCCCGATGGGTAAAAGGCAACAACTCTTGGACCATCCACCAGTGGAGGATCATGGACTGCCTTCTGAATGGTCACACTTGATTCCTTTAGCTCATCGCTGTAGTTGCCGACTTTTCCCTGCTCTTCCTCTAACATAGAAGGATCCTAAGCGAAGGTTACCAGCTCCATCGACCTGCCCTCTAGACTGGTTATCCCCATTGCCTGACGCTTCTTCATCGAGAAACCACCCTCCCTCACTTGGGACCTCTCTGCGGGACGGTCAGAAAGTGAGTCGGATGATCCTACTTTGTCACCCAATTCAGGGAGTCTCGTTTCAACCACAGAAAGCTTTTAGGATGCATGCTTTTGGAAGAGGCCTTCGCCTGGACAAGCATCTTCTCGGCGTCCTTACCAAACTTGGTTGCCTTTGAGGGGAAACCGCTCTCCATGATCACCAACAAAAGATAAGAAAAGACACCCTGCTCAAAAAATACTAAGATAAGATACATTTTTTCTTCAACTCTCCCCATTCCATTTATAAGGGTTTCCGCACAGATTTATAAGATCGTTCAATTATTGTGCATTTAATAATCATGAATATCAACATCTTTAAAAAAATTAAGATTCCCTTATTTTTATTGTAACTGTTGTTATCAAGGAGCAATGAAATCTGTGAACTTAAATATATTCATAAAAAAATGTGTCAACACGAATCTTAAAGTGATCTAACGGCCGACAAAAAATGATGATGCGGTTGATCGGGACCCATCAGAAACATTTCAAATGCCCCTACTTATCTAACCGACATCAGCAGACCGGGAAGGAGATAATCTAACGACGAGCTGAATTGGCTGCCTCCCCTAAATTTTACTGGCAGAAAGCTCACGTGGATGAATCAACCGACATTCTTCAACCAAACTGGGTGAACGATATAAATCGTATGTATTTAAATCGGTTAGTCAGGGGTCTCCTGGTCTGCTCTTCAGTTATAGCCGCCAAGAAAATGGTCCGACTAGTCACCTCTCAGGCGCACGACACATGGCCACTTGATCCAAAATTCGGTCGGATGCCTTCTTGGACTCCCGGTCCTATTCGACCGAACACCATTTCAGGCGACAGGCCCTATAATTATGTATTGACCGAAAAACTTCATTCTATTTATTTATCTATGGGCACAAAATGTTATGAAACATTCCTCATTTTTATAAATAAAGGCCCGTTTCATAAATAAAAGGCTATGCAATTTTACTGTTCTTTATCAAGCTCTATGCTTTCTCCCTCTCGCACTCTATTCCTTAGGCTTGTCTCCCGGACAATTTTGGATTCAACACATAATTATTTCCTTTCCTAATTTAGATTAGATATATTTGGTGAGTTTGTAAATTATGAGGGTTTGATTTACATATCTATTGGCTCATTCGGCTTCTTTGTTCGATTATGAGCACTATTTTTCTATCTTTTTAGAGAATTTTTGTTGGACTTATTTTGTGTATGTCTGTTCTAATGTTAGTAGATCAATTTGTTTGCTCTTTTCTCTTCTTTAATAGAGAAACATTTTGGTAGAGAAATTTGAGCACTTGTTCTTTTTATTTTTTTGTAGATTTATACTATTTAAAATGCCTCTGTTTTGATGCAAATTTGAAGATTACTTGAAATATAAGTTAGCAACATCTAGTTAGTTTCTAATCAATCAGTAGAAGTTGTGGAACAATAGATATATGATCACTGTTTTTCTGTCTTTTATAGAATTTTTATGTATGCTTGTTCAGTTATTAGTACGTTAATTTGCTTGCTCTTACATATTTTTCAGTTCAGAAAAACATTTTTAGGGGAGAAATTTGAGCACTTGTTATTATTTTTATTATTTGAAAGATTTATATAATTGAAAATGTCTTAATTTTCATGCAAGCTTGAAGGTTACATGGTAGATAATTTAGCAGTATCTACTTATCTACTGATCAATCAGTAGAAGTTATGGAAGAATAGATATATGTTCACTGTTTTTTTTTTCTTTTATACAATTTTTGTGGACTTGTTTTATGTATCTTTGTACGACTGTTAGTAGGTCAATTTATTTGTTCTTGCCTATTCTTTAGTGCGGAGAAACATTTCGGGGGGAGAAATTTGAGCACTGAATATTATTTTTTTTATTTGAAAGATTTATACCATATTTGAATATATTCAAATATATTAGTTGTAATTATTTATTTGAAATTCGCTTGCTCTTTCTCTTATTTAGTTGTAATTATTCTGAAAAATATACTTATTCAAATATATTACATATATAAGGGCAAAATAGGCTTTCTCATCAGAAACAACATCACAACAAATCTCTCAAATAGACTCATGTTTCTTCATCAGCAACTTTTGAACAATTCCTGATAAGCTGCTTCTCCAGGAAGCAGCTTTATAGCTGCTTCTTGGAAAAGCAGCAGCCGCCCCAAACACAACCATAGTCACCGTAAAGGAGTGTCCTCTCAGCTTGAGATAAGGTACAAGGAATTAAAAGAATACATAAAAAATGTAAACAATTTAAAATCATTTATGTTCTTATTAGATTTAATGAAGGTTCCTCAAATTCACATTGTTATATTTAGAATAACTAGAGTACAAAGTTCACTGTAGGATGATATTTGTGCATTTGGGATTTAAGACCAAAATTGAAATTGTTGAATCCAAAAATATCTTGTGAATCCAATGTATAGAGCATCGGATGAGAGAACTATAGAGAGGGAAATTTAAAAGGAAAAGAGTGCACAGTAACATAAGAGTTTTGATAAGAGTAAATTCAGTTGTTCTTTGTTAGAAAGATGACCCTCTATTTATTGATCCTATGATTATCTAGTGTAATATTACATATTTGTCTCTATGTTAATAGAGATGTTACAAATTATTATCACATTTTTTCATATTTGTGACCGACTCAGACGTCCTTTCATATTCATAATCGATATTAGCATCATTTTGTATTGATAACTGCTTAGAGAGGGGCATATGATGACATGGTCTTGTCATTTGGTCAGTTGAAAGTCTTTGGGCGGCAAATAGACATTCGGTCGGTTGAAAGCCTTTGGTAAACAAATAGACATTTGGTCAGAAAGGTCGTCGGTTGGTACTTTTCAGGAAATCATGGGTAGAGGCTCTCCTGTAGTGAACTTGGGTCGTCGGGTAAAGGGTATATCACTATAATCTGACTGGCAGCTTTTCTTGGACAATAAGTCTTCTCAAAGGATCAAAAAGATATTCCATGATGTGCCTTTTGACCATATTTGTGAGGAGATTCAAAATCGGCCGGGGGAGTTCTTGAAAGGTTGTTTCCTTCGTTCGGTTGTACTTCTATTTGGTCAGCTCAAAGTTTCCGACCGAAGGAGACGACACTTGACATTTATGTCTTTTGACTATCCCGTTACATAGCGAGACCCGTTTAATTTTTTTGAGATTCGTGCAAATATATAGAAATAAAATCTTAAATCCTAAAAGTTTAATAAATTTTTTAAATGAGTTGTCTTAAATTTGAAATGTTTTGATTAAATTATATAATGAAATGACCCTCGCGGCGGTAGAGTAATGAATTATCGTTTTAGCGTAGTAAACCGCGTAAATACTTTAGT